CAAAATGATTTTGACAAGGACGTTTTACCTGTTTGCCGGACGAATCGAAGTTATTATTCTTATTTTTAATCAAATTATCCTCTTGAAAAATAAGTAATAAATCACAGATGTATTTTTTTTGTAACATTGAAATGTATCACACTTGCTTTAGAAAAAAACAAATTGTTGACTACTCTTCCACGTGAAAATGTGACAGGAGAAATATCTATATAGTTTATTTATTTAAAGAGTGAAGTATTGAAAACATCTTTAAATTTGGTCTGAATTATTAGTTTCATTCGTAAATTTTTGACAGTCTTAAAAATACTTTTTTATTTAACTAACTGAACTTAAATACACCCTCAATCTTGCAACATGAGAGAAATACGCTCCTAAATTCTTGTCAAGTTTAGAGGTGTTTTCAACACTTCTCTCGACTTTTTATTAAGAACCTCAATTCATACAAGAGTTTGAGACCACTTGCTATGTCATGTCACAAATCGAAGTGGTTAAAGTGATATATTATTCCTTGGCCAAAAAAATAATAATATCATTCCTTGGCCAGCTGGTTTTTAATTTTAATTAAATTTTTAAGCCTTTTTTGAATCTTAAGACATGTAAGTAACTTAAAAATTAGTCGAATTTCAATACAAAGATTAAACCTCAGATTAAAAATAAAAAATAAAAAACTTAAAAAGGAAAAAAAGATTTTGATTCATGGAGATTGAGTTGTTGAGATACTCTATGTTGTACCTTCAAAAAGTATATGGGAATCACGTTCAAAATTCACTTATATTTTGCACATTTATTAAAGCTTCCATTAATCTAGGTATAATTTTCTCAAATGTTTTGGCTGTATAGGTGAACTTCTTAATGATAACGACGAGAACATATACTAAAATTTCACTTAATTATTTAGGGATAAGTAAATATGAAAATTCACTAACTAAGACGAGTTAGTATAGATTATAGAACATATAAAAAACGATTCAATCATGTATTTGTATTAATTATGAATCCACTAACTAAGACGAGTTATATAGTCTTGGTGAATGGTGACAATTCAAAATTCATAAACTTCAAATTTTGACTTTGCCTAGATGATGGGGTCACTTGTCCATGTAACAAAAGATCATCATTTATTAATTTTTTTTAAAAGTTGAATTAATGTAAAAAAAAAAAAAGTTGTGCTCATCCTCCAAATTATATATATATATATTTTCTACTAGCCACGACCATCTTATAAGTAGGACTCCTTTTCCATGTCAAAATAAATAAAAGAAATTTTCTATGTCAAAATTAATTTTTTTGGGGGCATGATGTACTTTTTAGAAAAGTTAATTAAAATTAATTGATAAAAAATAATATGTTAATATTACGTTTTTTATTTTTTCCCAAAATTTTCTTTAATACTCCTAGAAATGTATAATAATTTTTTCTTTAAAAAACACATTATAAAAAGAGTAATTTTAGAAAATAATGATTGATATATATATATTTGGACATTAAAATTATTTATTTATTTTAAATCATTAAAAGTGTGCTAGAAATTCATTTATATTGGAATGAAGGGACTAATCAATAGGGCAATTTTATTTTGAGATACTACATAATTCCAATATTTTTATGTAGGGAAAACTTTATAAAATAAAAAATTTAAATTAAATGTTATAACCACAGTTTTATTTAATTGTAATTCGTAGCAAATAATTGTCATTCGCTTCTCTCCCCAGATATCTCGCTCGCCACTATCCTG